ATAGGCTAGGCTTAACCTCCAGTGTAGCAGTGTTCAGAGATGTGGCCTTTGGGAGGTGATCAGACCATGAAGGCTCTGAGTTCATGGACAAATCGATCCAGTTATGGACTGATATATTAGTGGGTTTGGAGGAGGGGCTTCTATGAAGTGGAAAACTTGCCCCACTATGTCGCTCTACAGTGATATAATGCCTTGCACTCAGACGTCAAAGCAATGAGGCAAGCAACCAAGAATGAGACCTCTAAAGCCAGGAGCCAAAGTAAACACTTATTCCTTGGAGTTTATTTCTCTCAGGTATTTTTCATAAAGATGGAAAGTGTACTAGTTGCTTTTCTATTGCTGTGATAAGACACCATGGCCAAGACAACTTATAAAAGACAGCATTTAATTGGACTTACCAGAGAATTAGAATCGTGACAGTGGAGCGAAAGCATGGAGGCAGCGGCTGAGACTTACATCTCAAATCACAAGCAGGAAACAGAACTATCTCAAATTGGCTTGAGTCTTTTGAAACCTCAAAGCTTGTCCCCAGTGACACACCTTCTCCAACAAGGCCACACCTTCTAATCCTTCCCAAATATTTCCACCAATGAGGGAACAACTATTCAAGCACTTGAGCCTATGGCAATCATTCTCTTTTAAACCACACAGAAAGCTACCCTCCCTCCCCAACCCCATCAAAATTTCCCTGTCTTGTGTTCCATCTCCTTAGGCCTTGGCTCTTTATTTTCCTTGGTGGAATTTCTGTCTAGGAATTGCTTATAGTGTGAACAGGGGTTTCCATAATTGCACCTACATTGTAACAGGAGTCATTTGAAGAATCGGTGTTTTAGTTCAATAGTTACCCTAACACTTTTAAAGGAGCAGTCTTCTCAAACAAAATAAAATGTGAAACTCCAATTTCCAAACTTTAAGTCTCACCTTTGATGTCATTCCTTTTGGAAAAAATGTCATGCCCCTCCACGACGAAGATAAATCTCCAGGATCATTCTGTTGTCATAGTGTCTTAGACTTACTCGTTTGCATTTCCTATCACATTGCAATTACTTCTTCAGTGTCTTGTTTTCCCTGGTAGGTAGACTACCACTTCTGTGGGAATAGATACTGTGTCTACCATGTTTACCATTAGAATCCCAGTGCCTGGCACACATAGCTGATGAATGAAAAGCCCTCTTGTGAACACTGGGCACATGGTCTCAGATTATGGATGGTTGGTCCCAGTGATGTGGGCATTGCTGGACATCACAGTGCAGAACAGGTGGTGAAGCAAAGCAGTTAACAGGGAGTAGGAAATAGAGAATTTAGGAAGGGGCAATAGCAAGATGGTCTCTAAGCACAAACACCTCCAGCAACCACCTTCCTCTAGATCAAACTTCTAATGTTTCCACTACCTCCCCAAATCACACCACTAGCTAGGGACCAATGACTCAGCATATGAGCCTGTGGGGACATTTTATATTCAAACCATGACACTATTTATGTACACATATGCAAAGATAAAGAGATATAAAAGCATTACACCATGCATTATTGGTGTCTTAAATATAGATATTTCTTTTCATCCACAATAGTGAAATTGTAGTAAGAATCCTTCACAGCTGAGTATTGTCATGAGGCTTATAACAAAAAAAACAGAAATGTCTGACTCAGAACTCAAAAGTCTGTGTGTAAGTTCCATATTTATCAGTTATTTTGCCTGACACCTTAGAAGAAGTTATTTTGCAAAGCTAACCAGTCCTTTGACATTTGTATTTATTAACCCACACTTTATTAGTTTTCCTTAGAGTCGACTACAGGGGAAATGTCCTGGAGGACTTCATTTTTACAAATTCTCTGAGCTGTTTTTTCCAACTGTAGAAAGAACTTCATCAGATGGACTGTTTACTTGGCAACTTTTGCTGAATGTCTGGAAATGATGGGCACTGGGTCCCCATCTTCTCTGAGTTCCTCAATCTAATTAGGAAGACTGCGGCTGGGCAAACACTTCACGTTGTCACATACACAGTCACGTGTTGCTGAATGCCTTGAGTACATTCTGAGAGATCTTTTGTTAGGCGATTCCATTGTTGTGCAAACATGGAGCATAATGGCATGAGCCCAGATGGTCTGTCCACTTCACATCTAAGCTGCATGCTACTGTACTGAGTACTGTAGGCAACTGGATTATGATGGTAAATATTTGTGTGTCTAAATCAATCTAAATATAGAAAATACCCTCTCAAAATATGGTATAAAATGTAAGAAAATGAACTTGCCAAACTGTTCAAAATAAATGACTGTTGAGAACATAGCAATAAATGAGATATCTGTATCAATGGCCACAAAGCTCAAGGAACATTGATGATGGAGGAGTAGAAAGAATGTAAGATATAGAAGATGGTGAAGGAGTGCTGGGTTAGGCTCTCTTCTGGACATAACATGGGTATTTAAATCACTAATTTACTGCAGCTATGATTATCTACAGTAGACCAGCACACAATCACCACAAAAAGATCAGTCATTCTAGTAGGCAGCACTAATTGGATTCAATGGGTTATGAGAGAAGTGGGGGAAGAGGACACAAAGATGGGAAGGAACATGTCTAGGTGTGTCAGACTGGCATGGGAGGGAGGGGTTGGGGTGGATATGATCAAGATACATTATATGAAATTGTCGAGGAGTAAATAAGAGAACAAAATATTCTAAAAAACGGTACACTTGTCATGACACTTAGCATGAGTGGAGTGTGGAGATACGGAAATTTCCCGGATTGAGACAGTGAAAGATCTTTATTTAACTTTACATCTTTCCTAGCTTCTGACTCTTTTGTAATAACACTTAGAACACAAGCATGTTGTCTTTAATCTGGAGGCATTTTCTGTTTTTAACATCTATGACTTCACTTTTTAGACTCCGATAAAGTATGAGATAGATACATACCTTCAGTATCCTAGGCCTACATAGAGTCAAGATCATCACTATTGTTGCCTTTAACCTTTTCCTGCACACTGGAAGGTCTTCAAGGACAACAGCATACACGCAGTTGTCTTCTCCTGGTATAGCTTCGCCTCCTTCTGAATCCCTCTGGAAGGACCTATCTAAGGCTATTTTTGCAGTGAACATACTTTCTTTCTTTCCTTCCTCTGACTCTCCTTTCCTTTCCCCCTCTCTTCCTCCCTCCTCTTCCTCTTCCTTCTTTCTTTCATTTGCTCACCATTGAACCAATGGCCTTGTGAATGCTAAATGTACACTCTGCCACTGAGCTCCACCTTCAGCTCTCAACTATTGTTTTATAAGTAGATGGAACATACCCTGAAATAATGGTAAAAGGTAAAACTATAGTGTAGTAGATACATAAGCTAGGAACACAGTCATCAATCATCACTGGCAAGGATTATGTATATATGCATATCTGTTTTTACTACTGTCAGTGTGCTATGTTTATTTACACCAACATTACCACAAAGTTGTGAGCAATCTATTCCATTACCATGTTGTAATAGCTATGATATCACTAGATAACAGGAAATTTTCAGCTACATTATGAGTCCATCATTGTCTATGTTAGTACATCAGTGACAAAAGTACTATGATGCAGAATATGGTTTTAATGGCATATAAAAGGTAAACGCTCTCAATGTCCTCCTCACCTCTAAAATTTGGTCAATAAGGTACCTACCAGAGCTATGGGGAGCATTAAATGAACGAGCATGCATGTCAACTGATTACTATAGTTGCTCTTCCAGGGTATGTATTTTGATTGTTATTTCCTGTGTACATAGGAGGGAGTTACTAATTGTGCCTGTGACAAGGTCTCAAAATGAGCACTGGGAGTCTTGAAAGATGAATTCATTAAGTATAGACACCAGGGATTGGCATTATAGGTGAAAGAATAGAAGCACTAAAAATATGCTAACTTCTAGTAACATAGAATAGCCTCTTATGGTTGGAGGATACATTAATTAGGGAGAATGGGGAAATACTGGAAAACTACGAGGGAAGCTATCATGACTCCACAGAGTAGAGGTGAATATACTGAGCCTTTAAGAACAAGTATAATTTCATGCCGTGCAAAGGAGATGGAAGGGTATTCTAGTGATGGGAAGAGCGTATACAAAGATAAAAATGAAAAGTGTATAGGGAATGTATACAAAGATAAAAATGAAAAGTGTATATGGAATGTTGGGGAACTATGTGCTGTGACTCATGTCCTGAATTCTAGGACCTCCTATCCCATTTGGAGGCTTCAGATGTGTCTGCTTACATTTGGTAGGTTGGTAGGGTAGACTCTTGAAGTCAATTTGAAAGAGGGTTTTGATGGGAAGTAAAAACAGTACATGTGATCCAAAGAGGATGGAAACATGGAGGCTTTCACGCAATATAGACTTTGTACCCTGACAATTGAGGTCTGAAAACTGGATTGAAAAATAGAACATAAAACACCTTTTTCCATGAAGACTTCTATGACATTCTAAGGCACAAGAAGACCCATGTTGGTGCATACAGTAACAAACACTCATGAATAATTTGTTACTTCAGTGGAAGGTGACAAAATAGGATTACAGATGTAAAGGAAGGGAGAGTTCTCTATTCACAGGAAACCATGCAGCTGAGGAAGACAGTGAATTCTGAGTACTGTCACTCTGGTGGTAACTTTGTGCAAGCAGAAGTCCCTCTAGCAATACAGAGCTGGCAACAGTGGTGGCTGTGAAGATAATTGTGACAGAGACAGAAGGGAAATTTATTCTAGCAATGCTATTGGTGAGGAAACACAATTTCTTTGCCTTCCTAGCTCTCATGACTGTGAACTTATGAATTAAATTAAAAACAAAATAAATAAAAAATGCAGTAACAAAGCCAGGTGGTGGTGGCGCACACCTTTAATCCCAGCACTCGGGAGGCAGAGGCAGACAGATCTCTCTGAGTTCAAGGCCAGCCTGGTCTACAAAGCAAGTTCCAGGAAAGGCACAAAGCTACACAGAGAAACCCTGTCTCGAAAAACCAAAAAAAATTTGCAGTAACAGAAGAAAAGGCACACAAATTTTATTAATATGTGTATACACAAAAGTTCACAGAAAGAAAATGAAACCCTAAAAAGTGGTTAGATTCAGGGGATTATATACTGTCTTAACATAGGAAGGAGAGCTTGAACTTAAATGGATGATAAATTCTAGGAGAGAGATTAGGAAATGAATAAGGGAGGGAGAAATGAATGGATGCTGAAGACTATTTTAGTATGAACTGTTCATGCAAATTCATCTTGATGTTAATTTCCTATCCTAAGGGATGAGTCACTCTTCTGTCCTTGAAATGGAGGAGAGGTTACCTTCCTCAAAGGAAAATTTATGTCCTGCGTTCAGGCAGTTGTAGGTAGAATAGAAAAAAATTTCTGCATCTGTTGATTCTTAATTTTCTTTAGCTCAAAGTAATCCTTGTGCTAAAATGGCACAATTTTGAGAGGCATATTTTGAGCCCCTTCAAGAATCAAAGCAAAGGGTAGGACAGATAGCTCAGCTCTCTTAGTGGACCTGGGTTTGATTCCCAACATCTACATTAAGGCTCATAGTCATTGGCAACTCCAGTCCCAGGAGATGACACCTTCTCCCGACCTCCATAGGCACCAGGCATGTACATGGTATGCAGACATACATGCAGAAAAAAAATACCCATGCACATAAAATAAATATAAAAAAGTTCTTTAAAAAAAGTAAAAGCAAGAAAGGTATAAAATGATGGGCAATGTTTGGGAGCAGGCAGGTCTTCTCTGTAAGCCCATACGAGGTGGTCTTTGCTGCTTTCTAAGAGTGGTGGTGGAAGTAGTAGAAGAGGTAAACATCCTTCAAAAGGAGTTGACAGAAAAAGCCTACAAACATTATCTACATATAGGAGCACAAACTTGAAGGACCAGGAGAAATATGGGTATGAGTATCATAGAAAATGGATAATGCAAGATGGAGCAATAGAGGTCTAGTTTGACTTAATGACTTTCCTTAATGGAGGTAGGGTGATATTTTGATTCATAGTGTGTCATTCCAGAATAAAGGAAGCTGAGTACAAGGGGGATGAAATAATAGTGATATGATGGAACTAGGTGGACCTTGATAAAAATGGTCAACATCCAAAGCTAAATGTTCACCCAGGTTGTGGGTCAAGAGTTGTGAGTACTGAGAGCAGCGTGGGATATAACTTTCACGGCCCTGCATGAAACAGACTAATTCCCTTATTACCCATGGTCTTTAGTCTTGCCCTTCCTATAGTCTCTCTCTGCTCTGTGTTATGATCTGGACAAATAGCTGCCCTACATAAGACAAAATGGCTTTGACCCCATTTCTTTCTGCAGATGATTTCTTCATCATGTCTTTTCTCACTCTACTAGAGAGCTTCTCCAGTGAGTTCTCTTGAGCTTCTAGCTCTACTTCCTCACAACACCCCCCACTTACCTCTGACAATCCACCCCAACTAGGCCTTTGTTCCAGTAACATCATCTCTTCTCTTCTCCCATGTTATCAACGTCAGCACATAGTTCCTGCTGTATCACTAGACATCTCAGCAATGAGTGACACTTTGGACTTCTCTCTTAAAATCCTTTCATATTCTGACTTAGCCTATATTCTGAATAGCCTGTATTTAGTTGGCATTGAAGATCTGGGAATTTAGTCTGGATCAACACATGTAACAAAATCCTTACACTGATCCCTAAACAAACTTTTGCATAAAAGTGCTGTGAACCACATGTCAAAATTGAGGTCCTCTTGAAACCTAAGTAAGTTGTCCAAGAGGAAGTAAAATATCAATGGTCATTCTAAGTGCCCTGCCCACCCTGAATATCCATGGTCGTCAATGAATACTCAATGGATACCAGACCCTATACTAATTATTTTACAAGTACTGACTACATTAAACCTTACTGCAAGACTTCGGGCAAAGAACAATAGTATCATCATTATCCCATTTTCTAATTGGGAAGACTGACAAATACAGTAATTACAGAGCTGGCTTAAGAATCTAGGCAGCCTTACTGCTAAGTTGACACTGCTAACTACTTGAGAGTAGTATGACAAGAATGTCAAGCTGATTGTGACACCACTAGGCCCGCCATCATCTTTTACCCAATTGAATGACAGTCTTGACTGGAGTGTCAATCATATGACTTTCCTGTACATAATCTTTTTAAATTAAAATTTTATTAATTTAAGAATCCAGAAACACAGTGACTACATAAATAAGTACCATATTTGGGTACTTGTCCTGTGAGAAAAGTGAAAGGGTAATACTGTTATGTTACTCATACTTGTTTACAGGAGCTAACTAGAAAATGGATAAAACTGCAAAATGGTGCTTATAGTCTTTGCTGTCCCAAGTGTTTATGATACAAATAAATACACGAAAAGAACCATATCCATTCTTCTCTACTAACTACAGGCAGTTTGACCTCTTTCCCCTCTACCCTACACTCTACCCAATACCAAAACACTGGAGGATTTCTACATTGACAGCTCCCAAGTTTCTGCTCCCACAGCACTTTGGAAAGGTGTGTCCCTGCACCTGGAGGCAAGAGACTATCTAGGGGAGCTCTTTCGGTGTTCCCTTGAGGCTAAGCTTTCAGAGAACACCTGGGTGGAAAGGCTTTGGGGTGAATCATCTAGCAGGGGAAATCACCGCTTTCCTTCAGGATCTGGTTACTGATCTCCACACTCTGAAAATACTGTTTCCCCTGAGGGGGAGGCAGCAGTGGATCAACACTGTCCCCATCATATGTTCAATAATGTTTTGTGGCTTTGCAGTGCAGGATGTCTTATGTCCCTCTTCTGAGGAGAATGTGTGTGATTGGCTGGCAAGAAATTTGTCCCATGAAGCCCTGGCCCCAAAGCCTGGTGTGTCTTTTGTGGAAACTGACCCTTCTCTGCCAGGTTCCCATAAAGACCAGACCTTTCGCACATTTTTTCCTATCGTGTTCTCTTGCTTCGTGTGGGAAATATGGGGTTTCTAGGTCCTCGTATTTCTTAGTACTTACTTGAGCTCATGCATGCTCCTCAGAGAGGACAGATCCAAAAAGCAGGCCTATGCTCCTTGCTAGGAAGTATTTATAGTTTTTCCACAAAGATGATTTCTAAAGCCAAGCCTCAGAAGGATAATTTATGCTGTGGCATTGGGCTGCAAATAAACATTTCAGGAGCAGCCTTGTCTAAAATCCCAGATACAACCTATGCTTGTGGACAAGGCAAGGCTAGTAGGAAGGTTTAGGAGAAAGGTCTGTGTCAGAATTCTCAGCTCCCTGAATGAATAGTAACTCTCTTGACAGAAGAACCAATGTTCAGAAGCTCACAAGGACCAAGTCTCTTTATAAAGTCAAATTTAAACTCCTGTAATCAGAGAAGTAAGATCACCCTTAAATAGGGTTTTAGAGTAATTCAAACTAAAGTGTCTGTCTAGGTGACTATTGCTTCAAGAAAATTAGTGAGCATTAGCTTATAAACTAGTGAGTTTTATAGCTGTGAAAACAAAAAAGATGGACTATTTTATTTTTATCACGTCTATTCTTCTATAGTTATGAATCTTCTACAGTTATGGATTGTTTTGTATGAATTTAGTTTTTTAATAATTTCACCAAATTATACCTTCCTAATGGAGGCTCCATAGGTTCAGGTAAGGAAAGAGAAGTGATATTCTTAGACCAAGTGAATTTAGCACTTCAAAGTGAACAAGACCCTTAACTGGCATTCTTCACCCTACCACCATGGTTGATGACTTCAAAAACTGTCTTAAGGGCTTGAGAGCAGAATCTTCTGCATACATTTTCAATTTGTTTTCCTGGATGCCAACAACCTTCAATAGTATTTAGGAGCCATAAACAACGGCAGTTTCATGTTCAGTGTGTGTGTCTGTTCATACATGTGTATATGAGATATGAGGATGGAATTTTGTTTTCAGTACTGAGAGTAGAACCCAAGGCTCCATATATGCTAGGTATGTGCTCTACAACTGACTGCCCTGTATCTCCACCCACTGGGTAGTTTTTTTTTTTTTTTGAAGAATGGAAGACACTTGAGCATTCAAAAGGCATTTCATACAAATGATTGCCCTATGTGACCCAACTTAAACTGAGCAGTTTCCTTCTCTTTCTTTCATATGACTAACTTTATGCATAGAATCCCTAAAAGTGTTTTTCTTTTAACCTTCAAATAAAATTGATTCTCAGAGAAATGAAGGGTGCACCAGGATGTTCTATCCCTTCTCCCTCCAGACATCATTAAAGACTCCTCTATTCTCTTTAGAGGAGATGTTTGAGGGCTGCACACTGCTGCACATTGAGGAAAAAGGTATGTTGTGGCTGGAGTGGATAATTTGACTGCGTCTGACTTTGGGGTTTTAGCGAGCTGTTGACTTAAGCAAGGTAAGCCGGCAGTCCAGCTGCAGCTTGGGTTTCCTTGATTGATACTATCCAATCCTGGCTGTTTTGTCTAACAGTGGCCCTTTTCAGGTCTCTCCAGGTACAAAACCTGGACCAAATCTTCCAGTTCTGTTCTGCACACCCGACTTGAACACATCTGGCTGAGTCGAGCTTCTCCTTCGGTGAAGATCTTCCACTGGTCTAAAAGGGAAACACAAAATGGCCAAGAGTGTGTAAGAGTAGAGCTGAACTAATTAGGAATACAACCATTACGCTTCATTCTTTCCTACATCCTTGTAGACCCCTCAGGGTATTTGAAATATGAATGGCAGGTGGTTTCAACAAAAAAGCACTCCCTCAAACACACACTTTTCTCAGGGCAGAGACAGAAAACAAGACATGGAGTTTTTACTTCAATCTATAGCATTTGAAAGATCCCCCAAACGAGACTCAATTGTTCTCCCATGAGTAAATCCTAAGTGCTATGTTTAGAAAACTTTTATGAAAGGATTTATTTAATTTTAAATAATGTGTTTAGGGGGATAAATACACGTGAGTGCAGGTGCCCACAGAGGTCAGTAATATCAGACCATCCTGGAGCTGAAGTTACAAAAAGTTGTGAACTACCCTGAGATAGGTACTGGGAACTGAATTTGAATCTCAGCCACTGAAACAGCTCCACCTCCTGTGTTTAGAATTTTTATAGTGTAGTCAGCATTTGCAAAATTTTCACCAGTCTACTTGCTTGCTCTACAGGTGGCTCACTTGGCACCAATTAAAAAAATACCTGTGAACAACAATACCTACTGCATCACTAAACCACAGCTTGCTCTCTTAGGGCCAGACATAATGGTTTGGGTGACTTGATTATTTATCATTGTTTTCTCCATTCCTCACTTCCTTTGCCAACAACTGCTCATATTTATATTTCTCCTATATCCACATGCTGTCCTTATGCATTGTTGGCACCCTGAAATGCAATCCTGTGGCTGCTCATAGTGTTCCATTCCCATATGGGTTCACAGCCCTTTCCACTCTCAACTTGGTTGCATCGTTTCCATTGTCTATTTACTCTCAATAGCCCCTCACATTTCTTTTTATTCCTATGTTCATGGTGTTGAAATCTGGGGAGCTCTGAGCCCGAGGTCGGGAAACTCCTTTTCACCCTAAACCCGTTTTGAACCTCTTTGGATTCCCTACTCACATGAGAACATAGTGCCCTCCCCTTGAAACCTGATCTCTCTGCTTCTTTTTGCCTTAAATTCCTCATTTTCCTCTATTCTTTACGCCTCAGCATGGAAGTAGAAAAAAAGGGGGGGTGGATAATGTTTACCAAAGCCTTACAATGTGTCAGGCTATTGAGGCACACTATGTGTAGGAGTTGGGCTTATGCCATTGTCCCCAGGTTACTCCATTGGATCATTTTGATAAATTTTGGATCCCCAGTTATTGGGTATCCTCTGCTGCTGATGTAATAAGTCAATCAAGCCAATATAATAAATCCAGGTTTAATCTGAGCAGAGCAAAACAACTCCTAGGTGACTCCTGCGAAGGCAGGGGAGGAGTAAGGAAAGAACAGGGCAGGTATAGCAACTAGGTTTTAAGTAGCCTGTAGGTGTGGTCTTGAGCAGCCCTGGGGAGGGCCTGACTCTTGGTGGGCTTTCTTAGGGGCGGGGTCTGGGAAGAGAGAGAGGTGGGGGTTCCACTTAAACACATTTCACTACCCACTTCCTTTAGCTGTACAATGTTTGGGGCACACAATACCTAATTTCATTACCCATCCCCAATCCTAACTACTATGGGCACAGAATATTTCTAAATCAGCTTTGAAGTCCTCTAAAGTTTACACTGTCTTACTCACAACATGAACTAAAATGTATTCATTCTATGGTGAACTAGTAATTTTGAAAGTCACCCTGGTCTCTGTTTCCTTTACTCCTGACTCTTTTGTAGAGATTCCTCAACTGCTGCATTCAGATTCTCATACTGTTCATTTACTTTCTATTAATCTTTCAAAAGACATACAAAATACCTTACCAACCCCATTTCTAGTTTGCTCTCAGGCATCCTGATCAAAGTACATTCCAAGCAGATGTCCTTTTTCACCAACACCTGCTTATTCGTTAGCTTTTCACTGGTGAATGGCATTACTATCCATCCAATCTACAAAGTTATTAATACTGGAGTCACTCTATACTGATCCCCCGCCACACATCTATTTGTTGACTTAACCTTAGAAATATCTCTCATGGTAACCTATCCTCCCTTGTCTGAGAGACAGAAGAATGTGAGAACTTCCTAATTCAGTTTCTCACCAGCTCTGCCGCTAATGGTGCACTCCACTCCTCACAGTAAGACCCTCTTTCTAAAAGCCACATCTGAATACATCATTTACCTGCTTACTAACTAACCTCCACTGCTGTGCTTTAGACTAGAGGTCAAATCTAACTACCTAGCATGGCAAACAGGGCTGTTCATAGTCTGGATTCACCAAAGTGAGTGCTTATTAAATCTAATAAAGACTCCAGAGCACCACGTTGATATCACTGCGTTCTTGTATTGTGTTGCAATTCCCAATGTTACCTGTTTTGCATGTGCACTTTTTACTGGCTTCTTTTAAGCCTTTTGACTACTTCATACCAACTCTTTTCATCTTCATTGCACCCTATGTGGCCTTGGTGATCATTCCTCACCCCCACCCACATTTCTTGTTTGCTCCTGCCTGAATCTTCTCTTAGGCTGCACCCTCGCCCTGGACTGATTTCTTGACCTGTTGCCCAGTCACACCCTTTTCTTTTAGAAAGCACCTCCTCCCCGAAGCCTTCCCCGACTAAGCCCACCTGGCTCTCAACTTATTGTTCTTTGCAGATTTCCCTGAGCACTTAGGTATTTAACTCCTCACAGCTATTCTAATTCACACTAAAGGCCTATTCGTGTTCTGTCTCGCCCATTAGAAATTCCCTGTGGATAGAATTCTGGTGCCTTTTATTCCATTAGAAGTGTTCCCCACCCATCCCCACCCTGGTGCCCTGCAGTATCTAGTCCCTAAGCTCCATCTAGTGTAGAAAATGGGAGAGCTCAAGTCTGCAAGGATGCCTGGATGCTTTTAAAGAAACATTAGCACCTAGTGGTAGTTTTGTAAGAGCCAGAGAGCTCTGCTACAACACAGATTTGATATGTGTTCCATATTTTTGTCATCTTCTTCATCCCCAGATGCGAAGACTCCACAATTATACCACACCTGAAAACTTGTGATGCTTCCTTCAACTGTCTCATGCCTTGGCTTATCAGTTTAAAGACATTTAAGAAACCTTGACCTGAGCTTGTATGTGGACTATATCACAGTTTGTATTCACCATTCCCAAGCTTTTCCAGTTTGCACTCTGACCCCTCTTTGCTGTTTAGTCCTCCAAAAGAGAAATAGAACATCCCCTAATGCTGAAACTGAGCATTCTTTATGTATATTGAGAACACAGAGGGACTTCGAGTGTGGCAACACTACATTTAAAAGCTAGAGGTGATTTCCAGCAAAGAGTAAAAGGAGGTTCCACTTACTCAAGGTGGTCCGAGTCACCAGCTTGAAATGATGGAGCTCCCCAAACATCCTCTTGGAGATCTTCTCAATGTGGAAGTGCTGGAGAATGCCTAGGGCCAAGCGCAAAGTGGAACAGGTGATGAAACATTTTCTATCTCTTTCTGGAAGCACGGACCCCCTTTTCTGCCCAGGCTGAGCATATAATCTCATTATTGGGGCTTAGGAGTATTGAGCTGGGCTGTGTAATGTACTTAACCAGGAACTTGGATAGCTCAAAGATTTTAATTGACTCCATTTGTTTCCTTGGCTCACTGGCCTCCCTTTAGCCTCTCCAGGGACTGGAGATAAGGGAGGTAATACTTCTGACCATGGGATCCCCTCCTTAGAAAAGCATGAGTACTTCTTGGAGCTTCTGTAGCCAGAGGCAGTATTAGAAATTCTGCCTTTGGCCATAATTTGGATAGAGTAGTTGCTGCCAAACCACTAGGCTGCCCTCCTGGCTAAACAATGAAAACTAGTAGTAGGACTGCAGGCATATTATTTGTGTAAATAGAGAAGCTACCCCTATTCCTGAATTCACACAGAAGTGCAAATTTTCCTTCAGGAAACAGTCACAACTCTTGGAGGCTTCTCTTAAAAATGAAACAAACCCCCAAATGGGTTTTATGCATTAGCCCACATTTCTACCTTGCCTAAATAGTTCTTATTAGAGGCAGGTAAATAACTGGAAACTTCCAAGTAGTTAAGGAGCAACTTGTTACCAGCTCACTTAAACCCAGAGGTCAAAGGAGACAAAGCTTGGGTTTTTCTGTGTCCAGGAAGCATAAATCTTGATAAAAAAAAGCTTTATTGTGAATAGAAGGCTATTGATATGTTCTACTCGCATATTGCAATCCATTCATACACTTTAGTAGGGTGAAGGATATGTGGCTGGGTTCACTGCTTGAGAAATCAACACGCCAGTTCTTAGTCCCAGAATAAACATGGCTGAAAAGCATATGTGTATCCTAGCATATTTTCTAATGGGTGGGGAAAAGGCATTCTTCAGAAAAAGTAAGGCTGTTGGGGAAACAGAGAGAGAAAAGATGCAGTACACAACTCCAGCAGTATTTCTGAAAGTGTGATCCAAGTATCACTTGCACTAGCATCAGAAGGTTCTGCCTTAATCATGAAATGTTTATAATGTATCCAAGGCCTACTGAATTCTCATCTCTTGGACAGGACTAGCTAGCAGCACATTAGTACAGTTCTGTGCATGATGGTGGAGCACATACATGTTTGAACATTGGTTATTATTGTTGCTATTTTGAGACAGGGGCTCACTGTGTAGCCCTGTCTAGCTTAGAACTCACTGTGTAGATCAGGCTGACCTTGAACTCACAGAGATCCACCTGCCACTGCCTCCCAAGTGCTGAGATTAAAGATACATGCCACCATACCTGGCTTTTCAAGCACCCTTGAATCTTGAACAGGAGGTAGGTTCAAAAGGACACATCTTATTGTCCAAATGAAATCTTATCCCTACACTTTGATTCCTGGAAAACTTGACCAGACTAGATGATCACTAGTCTTGTCTATACAGTATGGTGTGGATAGATGTGGGAGCACATTGAGTATTGAAAAGAACATTGCTTGTTGTGGTAGCTGCTGTGGGAAATCAGAAAAGCAACTAGATATCATGACAGGGATTGTTTTGTGTAAGATTATAATCTTCTTCACATTGTATGTGTGTCTTCTTCACAGAAGAGGTAGGGGTGTGTGTGTGTGTGTGTGTGTGTGTGTGTGTGTGTGTGTGTGTGTGTGTGTATGCACTTGTGTACCACAGCACACATTTGAGGGTCAGAGAACAATTTACTTGGGATTGTGGGATTCAGTTCTCCCCTCCCACCATGTAGGTTCCAGGGACTGAACTGAAGTCATCAGGCTTATCGCCAAACTCCTTTACCTAGTGAGCCATCTCCTTGGCCCAAGACCATGATCTTTGTAAATGTAGGAAGGATGTTTTAAATTTATCTTAATCCAGAGTACATGGTATAATTCCAGAGACTTAGCTTCACACTGAAAGAATGAGTTTTCCTATATTTTGAGCTTCATATTGGAAAGGGAGACTGCAGTTTATTAGTTTACAACATAGGCCATAGATTGGAACCACTTTGAGGATTTCAGGAAACATACTGATTGATTCACATGCCTGGCTCAGATCAACAAATTAGACTCTGGTGGTAGGACTTAGGTATTTGATATAAAAATCAAACCAAAACAAAACAAAGGATCGCAACTGTTAATCCTTGATCTTTAGCATGGACAGTGTTAAATTTGCAAATACAACATCTGTGCTAGACACCTGCAGTTTTGAAGTAAAGGGATAACTTCTGACCCCAAAACAGGAATATGCTGAAGTAAAATTAAGGTGAGTTGTCCCTTCTCTGCCCCACTTAGAAGCACAAATTGAATGCTGTTTTGCTCACCCTTTCGAATGGTCCAAACGTGGACCTCTACTTGAGGTGGTCTCTCAGTCTCCAGGGCTATTTTTCTAGTAGTCTCTCCATCCTCCACGAACACCGACTCATAAACAGGCATGGTTTCTTCTCCACAAAAGTAACCTTTGCTGTCAAAGTTTTGGCTTGGAGGTTCTTCTGGAACCAGGAAGCAAGTAGAGTTTTGGCATGGTTTTGTGAACTTCTGAATTTAGCCATCTCACTGTTTAGAACAGCTGACACTTAAGCAGAAGTAGACAGTCAACAGGAACATTTTTTTATAGAGACAATGTTCCGAGATTTACCTTACTAACTCAGCTCAGGCTGCCCCTCTAGCAGCCACCAAATCACCAAGACACATCTAAGCTCTCATGAGTTCACATGATGACAGAATCAGTGGCTCTGTAGGGCACACCCACAAACTGAACTGGATCTCCCTACAACAGTCACTGAGAAATGGACTTTGATGAAGAAGAGTATAGCCAGGTATAAATCTCTTAGGTACTTAAGGGCACACTGAATTTTCTATACTAGGGTAGAATCGTGTTCTGTCCAGTCCAAGGTTGCTAAGAGAGGCCCAGGATATGGGCTGACAGAGGGCTTTGGTTAGCTTTTCTGACATCATTTTGGTATACTTAGAAAATACTCATGACACTCATTTATGTGCATATACTTGCCCAACAGATCTATCCAAATTGGCTTGACATTTCTGAATGCTCTTTGATTTGTTTGTAAGAGGAACGATAATACCGGATCAGCACCAGTGCCAAAATCTAGATGTCAGATTAGTCATGTACATGCTATGCCAAATGAATGGTTGGGAGATACACAAAAAAATTGGTTAGATCCACTGTCTGTGGATCGTTTACTATGTATAGCAGATCACTGAATAAAGGTACTAGCCCCATAATACTTATACCATACCCAAATACTGGCATTTCATACCAGACTCCCTTTGCCCAGACCTCATACCAAAAAATAAGTTCCCCTTATTATTGGTGATAAGTTCCCAGATTATTGGTGAGTTTTTCCTTTGATAGCTTTATAATTAGCACCTCCTTCAGGTGTGTGTTCAAAGTATGTAACTCAAATAGGGAATACTGAATAGAATCCTTTACATATCCTGAAAACTTTGAGAATTCAGAAGTTATCTATAAGAATATCTGAACCAACAGGGATAAATCCACTGAGGGTTGAATGTTTGGGGAATCTGTGGCTCATACTGATGAGACTCACTGTCGTCCAATCAGACATATTGGACTGGACATTGTAATCAAATTGCTGTTGTATGTCTCTTTTGGACCTGATTAAGTTTCCTCTCTACCTCTGCCTCCCACCATTTGGCACTGTGAGGGCAAAACCACCGTCATCTCTTGACAGTTCCAAGTTGGATCACTCAGTTTGTGGATTATCTTAGACTCCAGCTTCCTTTCTCTCTTTGCCTTTCATTTTAGACATTTGATTAGTTGGCAGAGCAGGCTTTTTTTGGTGATGTTAGGCAATTAAGGGCTGTGTGCTCACAGTTTTCAACTGGGAAGAAGGAGGCCATGGAATGTACAGGCACTTCTGTCAATTCAACTGTCATGTTTACAAGGAGAGCTGAGTTTCTTAAACTTTGCTCACTAGCTTAATGTTGGCTATGAACCTGACATATGAAACCCAACCCATGATGGCACTAAAAGTACCTGTCAGTTGCTCAAAGTTCTCCCAGTGTTCTAAAGAGTCTCTCAGAAGTACCAAACCCTCCTAAGAGCTGAATGTAGACAACTGAGGAAATCCACGAACAACAAAACCCCAGTAGTGATTCAGCCCTAGGTGAAACTAGAAGACACTAAAACCAATTTTGTTCTTAAAAGGATGTATTCACTAACACCTTGCACTTTTCATCTCAAGGCACTTCGCCTCCATGCTGTCTACTCTCAGTTCCTTATGAGCCATGCCATAACTGAAGTCATTTGGGGCCACGTCCATTTCCCATGAGAAAATTATCCTGTGACTTCTCGAACTAAGAAACTTCAACACCATTACTTTGGGAGGTGGTGATGACAGATAAAGATGTGTTATCTCATCTCAGGAAGCTCTTTAAAATCATAAAAGAGCCATTTAAATAACCAAATCCAAAAGAAGTGTGTAAGGAATTCCAGGTATTAGGGCAGTATCAGGGTTATGAGAGGTGAGTTGGGGAATCTGTAGGAGTTGTGTGTCTTGACCAGTTCATTGGTGGACACTGACATGTAAGGTAAGGCTAACCTCTAACAGAGCAATAAGAAGAGAGAGGTGGAATTTATATCCTTTACCTTGGCCTGGGTTTGTTACTGATGGAGCATGTACCCATTTGTTGTGATGAAATGTTTGACTTGGCCACCAGTGATATTTATTTATTTCTTCCCTACCAAAATAATTCATATTATTGCTCCTTTTTCTTTTACTGCTTTGTCCCTTTTCCTTTAGGTCATGTGCTATTATTTTAAGAGGCCACTGATGGTCTGACAGTCCTGTTTGAGGGCCCTTTCATGTCATCCAGGAGTCTATTCAAACATCACACTTCACTGACTATTTTTGACAATGTTTCAGGCACTATTCACCATTTCCTGATCTTGCTCTTTTCCCCTTCACAGTCCTCATCACATGCTAAAATTACATCCTTGATTAGATATCACTGTACTTCTTCACTACAATGCAAGAACCAGGCAGTAGCCTTTGCCCGTCTTGTTCATCTCTCACTCTTCAGTGTCTGTGTTTGCATGCAGTAGGTTCTTAACATGCATTTTTTAGCTTGAATGCAGGGCACACTTAATGTTTTGCAGGTGCTGAATATATGGAACAGGCCCCCTAAGCCATGTTGACAGTGACTCTTGGGCAATAGGACCCCTAAGAGTGATTTAAAATGCATACACCCAGGTCTGGCTCAGAGAGAGAAAAGTCCATAGAATGAGAATGGAACTGTCTCTTTCCATGATGCCCAATGGATATACTAGCTCAACATATCTGATTAGGATGGAAAACAGTAAAAATAGCTCATTCGGGGAAACTGGTTAAGTCAGTCAGATTCTTCAATATATTGACAATTGGGATTCTGGCGGGTGGTTTTTAAAACAACAACTTTTATTATGTTTTCAAAGGATGAAAATAATACATGTTTACTATTGAAAATTTAGAAAATACAAGTGAAAGAAGAAAATAGGAATACTTGGTTAAGTCAGTTATCCAAAGATGATGTCTGTAAACATTCTGTCATAATCCCTTCCAGGCTTTAAAAAAAAAAATCTAAGCACACACGAACTTTTTCTTAAAACAAAAATTAAGTATAATACACATATTTTTTGTAGCTTGCTCTTTTAACTTAATTATTCCATGCCCGCCATCTTGGTCTATGATGGTTTTAATGGCTACATAATATTTCACAGTAAAGTCATACCATAATTTAGCCATTCCCTTATGAGTGAGTTTTCTGATTGTTGTCAATGTTTCATTATACACCTTTATGTATCTCCATTTACTTTCTCAGGGTAAGCCCAGAGGTGGGGTTGCTTATCTGGATGCTTTCAAAACACTACCAGCCTGAGAAGGAAATTCTTTTTTTAAAGCGATGCATGCTCTGTGGCTCTCTTTTTATTTGAAATCACCCATATGAATAGAATCCTAAGCACAGTGTGAAATGAGATTCTGTCTGAAAATCAAAGAATCAAATCTGAAAACCTGATCTTTAGTGTTTAGGTAACTATTAATTTTTCCCTAAGATTATCCTATATTACCCTTTAAGTGTAAATGTTAGACCTTTGGCCAAAGAGAAAAACATGTTGGGGGATTGCAACTGACATTAAGATTTGTGGATCAAATGAGACCCCAACCTTGGAAGGGACTATAAGTCACCATGTTTGGGTGGCTCTGATATCCACATCATTCCTTGAATATGTTCCCTACCTATCCCTAATAGGCACACTTCCTCCTGAATTTCAGTATTTTGATCTCTACTATTTGGCTAGCTCTTGTCCTTTGTATCCACATTCTATCCCTGTCCCTTTCACCATGGAAGATGATGGGCATTGTAGTTACCTTAAATTATTACTTCCCAAGCTTTAATATACTTCAAGTAGAATCACTTGAGAATCATAACTGCAGATTTGGATGCAGGGCAGGAGGAGGCCTGAGAGTTAGCATTGACAATTAGCTGCTAGGTGCTGCTGGTCCACCAATCACATTTTTTAAGGACAAGACCATGAACCAATGTGAGCATGCACCAATTGTTCTCAAACTTTTCTGTATATCAAAGGAACATATCTGAGGAACTTAAAAGAGTCCCTAGCCCAGGTGACAATTCAAATCAGTTAAATCATAATATTTGGAGATGGGGCACAGGAAATTTTAGAAGCTCCCTGGGGATTCCAATATGCAGACAATTTCAGGAATCATAGACTCAGGTAAAGATTCTCATGTACTTACACTGAATGTATGTTTGCCTGCAAGGCAGGAAAGACTGTTTAATGGAAGGGATAAATGATGTATCCATCTCCATTGTAAAAAGTGTTTGTTTTTCACTTGTGTTTACATAAATTCTTTACAGAAGGCCTAAGAAATGATGAATTAATGTACCAGGGAATGGCTAATTCATTGATGGTGGAATTCCGGGTTTGAGGGGGGCGGAGTTGGGTGGTCGTGGTGGTTATAGGAAGTCACTTGCTTTAACAATATAATTTTGAAGAAAAAGAAATGGAGACTCAGAAAGTTGATGGGGCTTGTTCTTGATCATACAGGAAAGCTGTAGCAGACCAAAGTTACAATGACATCATTATAGATGACACATTTTTTAAAAATCTAGCTCATGTCTTAAAAACTACTGTTTGAATAATTTGTCTTTTAAAAAAAAGATCATCTACATTTTCAAGTAGAAAAGACAGTGGGCTGGAAGTGACCTGAGTTTAAGGCCTTGACTGTCTTATCCATTAGTTTCATGACATTGGGAAAGTCAGTTTATACATGACACTGTTCTTGTATTTAAAAGAGAAATAATATAATTATAGGATTTTGGTGTTGGAAGGTAGTGAAGGGGAGATAGAGTTGGATAATTGATATTAAAGCACCATTAGAATGAATTATTTCTATTTTTCTATAGCACAGTAGGGTTACCATAGCAAAACCAATTTATGAGAAATTTCAAAATGACTAGAAGAGTCTGGGGATAAATATCAGAGGAGATGGAGTGACAATTACCCTGATTTAGTAATCATGCCTTGTAATATATGACTTGAATTATCATACTGTGCCCCATAAATATATACAGATACTATGTCTCAAAAAATTAAAACACAAAATCAGACAAAAATATAAAAATGGAGCACAGTGATAAACTGCTTTAATTTTTCACATGGGGCTGATGGGGCCCAGATATGTATGGATCCGGTATATTTTTAAGGTCATATAATGACCTTAGATTTGGACGAGAACCTAATCTCCCTCCACTGTAATTCATGCATCTCCCATATGAAAAGAGTACTGGATTATGGCTAGAAGTGAGTTAGTGATTTAAAAAGTGAAAGATGTGGCTGTTTTCCTAAAACAGTGATAACACAAACTCTCTAATTTAGAAAAGCAAGAACAAGTTAAGCAATTTGGCACATGTGTGAAGTTGCAGACAACAAGAAACTCTCCAGAATATTTCTGAGTAGTCAATTCCTTCAAAGCAACCATCAGTCTCTCAGAAGAGGAAAGAATGAAGTTCATTTTTGCTAGAACTACTATTATTAGAATTATATGACAGGTCATTTATGTTTCTGATGCACAAAGAAAATCGAGCAGGACTCTGTGTGGATCCCATTCAACCAAAGGCAGGTCCTCCAGCCAACGCACCTTTTGCCTTTTTACCTGGACACACCTTGCAGCACTTTCCATCTATTTTTTGAGGGTACTTGCAGGGGTATCGACTGGGGCAGTGGATTTTCTTACATTCTTGCTTGGTGACATTACAAGTGCATAGCACACATTCCACAATGCCAAACGCCCGTAGATTTGGGTGCCAGGACTCTCCGTGAGAATAGGTCTTTCCGTTGGAAACACACACTGAAAGAGAACACAGGAGTAGAGAGAGAAGATGGGTTACTAGTCTTAGAATACCATCCATCAGTTCTTTAAAATATCAAACATTCTTTGTTTCATCATGGCAAGAACATGCATTTACAGAGGTAGTCTTTGACCATAATGCTGTTTGAGTGACAAGCTACCTTCAACAGTTATCCATATGCCTCTGCAGCAGCCTCTAGAGTCTCACAAATAGTCTGAGAAATAGTGGACATTCTGCAAATAGTTTTCCATGGGGTAATAAATAAATTCATGAAAATGGAGTTCTATTTGTCCCGAACATCTGATAAAGAATCTCTAGTACAGTGTAGTATTTTTAATATCTTGAGTGGCACAGAAGATATGTGTGGTCTAAGTAGTTATGCTTCTGGATATAATAATTTCCAAAAGAGATTTGCTATCCAGGAGGGTTAGATGAAAAACTAATTCTCTTTCCAAATGGCCAGTTTCATCTATAGCCTGAATCAAATCCATTCAGAATATCAAATGCTGTGAGAGTCTGACTTTCTCATATAGATAGATGAGCATAAGATTTAATGTTGACAGACTATATTTTGGTATTAGGAAGAGGGATGCTAAGACAAGAGTTACTCGTGAGGTGATGGTCTTTTATGCCTCTAATCTTCAGGCATTTATTTCAGTTTCCCATTGGTAGTGGCTACAGCAAACCAAATCAATGCTTGCCTTACAGATAGACATCTTTTGTCTCTCAGTTGTTGATGGAGAAGTATAATCATTGCCTCTATGTTTTCTGAGATATCTTGAAAGAGCATATATCGGGACAACAGACAGAGGGAACCTATGAAGGAAAGGGGACACAGAACATCCTTCCAGATATGTCAACCTTAAACCTATTAGGCTACTACTATATAGCATAGAGCTAGGTTCCAGGGAAATAAATGGACAGGCAGTGCTGTGAATGGAGAGGTCTGAGAATGAATGCTCTCCATTTCTGAATGGCTAAGACTGTGGATATTTCAAGTGGTAAGTGGGTCTTAGTGTTGCTTTCATTATTTCCATCACCTCATCATATCCAAGGAGATCTGTCGGCATCTTAATCAATGTTATCTCTAGGGTAGGGTGTATCTCTTTGGGCAGGGCTGGGGGGAGACATATTCCCACTTGGGGCGTTTCTAGGAATTGACTGATTTGGCTGCAACACAGACTCGAAATGAATCATTAGGCTATTTCTTTCTCATCAAGTCCACTGGGTCACATTAAAGAATATGAAAGATGTTGGCTGTTTTTTATTGTCTTTTGCAAGAACTGCTTGAGTACTGGGCCCTCTAACAGGTCAGTCTGTGTAAAGATTTCCAAGAAACTAACCTGGAGAAGATCCCAGTGCACAGAAAGTCTCAATAGATACCTAAAGAGTGAGGCTCAGAGCTATGAACAGAACCATAGAAATCAGGGAAGACGTGTTTCTCTCTTGCCTACACTTTTCTCTCTCTTCCCGACACAGTAACACTGTTTTCTAGACCGTTTTGAACAAGTGGGTAAAGAGTTGGCCTCAAGAACAGTTTGGCAGGATTCAAGTTTAAAATGGAAGAATCTTGTTGCTTTTCTTCTGTGATTTTTAACAAAGAGCAGAATGTATATACCACAGGGAACCTGTCACTATGGAGAGAGCTCAGGAGAAGGGTGATCCATACTCCGGGAAAACAAGGCAGGCAGCACTACCTAAGATAAGCTTCATCTAACTTTTTCTAAACATTTAGACTATAAGAACAGTCCAACTTAAGCAGAATCCCACACTCTGCAGTTGAATAAAATGCAGCCCTTAGAAGGGAAGACAGCCTCCTCCCACCAACAAAATTCCAAAAGACGATTTTGAATCATCCAGCTGGGGTCTGGGCGTTAAGGTGAAGACAAGAAATTCTTCAGTGAACTCTAACAGAAAGGTCAAAAGAGGAGGGATGTATCCAGATAAATGTGGCAGATGAAGAAATATGAAGCAGCCAGAGCTTTTGTAGGGCACTGAGGCAGTGAAGGGATGAGCCTCTACTGTGAAAAATGAAGAGTTCTTAGGGAAATTATGGTATTTAGGATGTTCAAAGTCTATTTTTGTCCTCAATCCTTTTTTTTTTTAAGGATTTGCAATGCTTCCAAAGCAAATAAAATCTATTGGGAGTAATTTAGGATTGAAAAATCCAAATGTATCTTTACCTAACTCTTCTTCATTTCATAAAGTTGTATCAGAAAGCTTTGGAACTTAAAAGTCATAAATTTCAAGTAAAACACAGATCAATAATGCATATTTCTAACCATTTTAATAACCAAAGTTTTATTAAATTGCATTTAGAGTTTTCTCTTAAGCCTGTAGATTTTTAAAATTGATGTTTTTATGTATAATCTGAAATTTACATGTAACTAGTAACAGATGTGATGAACTAGCTTTGGCTTGACCAGCTCTGTTGAGATTTATCCTAGGAGTTCTTTGTAATGGATTGTTTTTCACCAATGTTATTCATTTGTTTAGTTTAATAATTTACTTTTATCCTGTTCAAAAAATTGCCTTTTGATTTCTTTTTCTCTCTAAAGGAAACAAAACATGATTGTGGTTATGTAAAAAGGAACTAGTTGAGCTTTATTCCAAAGAACTGATTGACAGGCTATCCAACAAACAGCACCAGTCAATACTATGCTTTTCTCTTCCTCCCACCTCTGCTACTGGAGTTGGGGCAGTGGAGGCCAGAAGAGAGAAAACTGGACCAATGAACATAAATGGATGCTTATGCAAACTCATGCCTGAATGGACTACAGTGTTAACCTGTGCAGTGGTCCTGCTTCTCAGCCAGGTGGTTCTGGATTTCTCACTGGCTCACTCAAATGGAAGGATGATCTCCTCATTTGCTACACACTGAATCAAAATCTCTAAGCTTGAAGCCAGGAATATTTAACAAGAGTCACAGGAGAAGGCTATTTAACACTTAACTATTGAGAAGAGCTTTCAGAAGTGTTTGGCACCAAGTACCTTTGAATGTTGGGTGCCCTGTTTATTAAAGATCAGGGGATTTTTCCAAATGACCTCTAACTCCCAGATGCAATGGAGAAAGTGCTAGAGGTTGCTTCATAAGTAAAAAGGGCACTTGTGTATACTGTTCTGGGTGCACTGGTAGAAAGTCCTACAAGTCCTCTCAAGTCACTTGCTGATACTCACTTTGAAGACTTCACATTTAGTGGTCCACATGTGAGTATACACTATTTATGGGATAAGGGTCCTGTCCTAGGTTTGGTCTCTAAAGATCAGGCATGCTGTGGAGGATGCCCTTTACCTTGTCCATGTTTGTGCTTGTTATTGATGACAATCTGCACGATGGTTCCTGATGCTTGCTGGGAATCCATAAGAGCTCCCCGGTGACTTCTCCCCCCAGGAAAGCGAGGAGGACCTCCAGCTTGTCTGCTTGGTGGAGGGTCATAGGGAGAACGGAGGTAAGAATGTCTCTATAAATGACAAGAAAAAAAAAAACAGTCCAAAACAAGTATCAACAATGAGATGACAGGAATTGAGTTATATGCACCAGCAGCAATTCAATGAATTGATTTTTAGTGATGAACTCTGATCTTAACTGTATGTCTTCCTACATCAGCAAAGGTAGGGATGTGACTGTGAGAGAGCAGCACTAGCAATTTGCTGAGATTTTCCTCTCTCCTTGTAGATTGGACAAGATTCACAGAGAAACTCGTGAGGAAGAAAACAGCCCCAAAGGCTAACGCGTCTTCCTGCTAAGAGACTCATATTTCCCAGTTTAAGAGTTAGTCTGCAACACAAGGCAGAAGGTAGCAGGTCACAGGAAAAGTCCAAAGTGGTGTTTAAATTACGAGGAGAGATGCTTGTCGGGGAGGGTTTGTGACCTGGGTCATGAACAGTGGGTAGACTTTTTTTTTTAATAGGCAGTTTGTGGGGACTATTCCAGGCAGAAGTTTCCAAACTGAGAAGGTGTAGCAGAGAACATAGAGTCCTTAAAAGGGAACAGTTGAAGGATAACATTCCAAAAGGGGGTTGGAGCCAGATCAGGAGGACTTTAAATGACAAGCTAAGGGGTAAGTACTTTATTTGGTAAATGATAGAGGTGGGAGTATGGAAGCCTTTGAGGGATTTTTTTTAAGTAGAGAAGTGACTTAATCAAGAGGTTTTTCAAAGCATTGCACCCTGTTATGTATTAGTGAGCTGGAGAAAAGGGTGGAGGACAGATAGGGTCACAAAACTGTATAGTGAGAGTGTAAACCCAGGCAATGATAGATTAACACAGCAGTGCACTTCACTGATTCAGAGCAGTGATAGCATGCAAGTTCTCCGGAGTCAAGGACTTTGTTTGTTCACTGCCATAGTGCCTAGAGCAATGTGTAATATCTAGACTATACTCGTCCCTAGCTGTTAAGTGAATAAAAACACTTTCCCACTCTTGTGGGACTAATAAAGCAATCACTATTCTTTCATCAAGAGTTTAAGGCAATAATAAACTCAACTATTTTCCTTGTTCCCTGGAGCTGAGGTAGAGGGCAGATAGAAAGGGATGGCTGGAATAAGAATAAAACCTTAAGGATTACAGCATTAATATGCACTGTTTTAAGGGCATTTGTTATGGGTAAAGAAGGGAAAGCCCATGAAAAGATTTCACAAGCAGTTAAAAAGGAAGATCCTTAAATTTACTTATTTAGATAACAGACAAAATGAGAGTCAGGGTATCCTTGACCCAACTTACCATAAGACAAACATATTGCTATATATCATAAGCACGTCTTTTGAAAAAAAAAACTTGCTTTGGGGGAAGAGAAAAGTAAGCAGAAATTGGAACAAAAGGACCCTTTTTGACTCTTGACAGAAAATATCATTCTCTGTATCTAAGAGCCCACTCTGGCACATTGCCTTAACAATTCATACAAACAAGAATTTGCTCCAATTTGTTATCATGTCCATGGATGGGATTCTCAGGGCAAATAGTTCTCATTCCCACCATGGTTTATATGTCTCTTTTTGCCATAATCGGTAGCATTCCACAATGGCTATTCTTTCCTTTCTGTTGCTTGACAACATTTTGCCAAAGTAACAAGGAGAAGAAAGTTTGCCTGGTGAGTGTCCCACTGCTGCCAAAAGAAAGGTGTTCAACAGCAATACAATTAAAAATATGTTATGTTCTCTGATTCACACTTGTGAGCACAAAATGTAAAACTCTTCTTTAGCACTATGGAGTAGTATGGGCTATGGTTTCAAACAAAGAAGAAAACCAGAAGCATCAGAGATTTTGAGCAGAGGACCTTTTGTAGACTGCTTAGCCCCACATATTCATCTTAAAGTCTTAAATGTCTCCACATTTGGCCCTTGGCTGGTGCTATGGGTTAGGGAACCTTTGAGATGTGAAATCTATCTGGCAGAAGTGGGTCACTGGATGTGGACCTTTGAACTTACACTTCCCTCCTGTTTCAGTCTGGTTCTCTAAATCTTGGTCCAGCCACACTATGTGAGGAGCTCTAATGATTATTCCTGATACTACAAATTGGTCCACTCCTGCTACCATGCCTCCTCTGCCATGCTGGGATGATATCTTCTGAAACTGTGTGTCAAGTAATCTTTCTTCCTAAGTAGCTTCTGTCAGCTATTTGTCACAGCATAAAGAGAAGTGACTAATACATCATGTGAATCTTTTGCTTTGTAGGTAGAGAAGCTGAGAACAGAAAGGGAATTTATCCAGAACAACAAGGTTGAAGTTTTGAGGATGGAGTGGTATTGGTAGTATTTAGAACAGAAACAGGAAGAGGAAGAAGAAAAGAAGTAGAAAGAGGAGGAGGAAGAATGGTTAACAACCTTTTAGCTAAAAGCTATTTCAAGCAGAAGGTCTTTTAGCTGTGGTGTTTACCAGCATACACAAACGGAACTCAACTATGACTGCAATTAAGGGTTACCAAAGGAGCTGTTCAAAATGCTAGGAGCAGGTTGTTACTCCCAGAGATCCTGATGTAACTGGTCTGAAGTGAGGCCTGAGCTTCAGGAATTTTATAGGCAGAGGTAGGGAATCACAGACATAAAGGGTTTCCTGTGGGGCAAGAGGTTGGGAGGTGATGGATGTGTAAATGTTTTTTACTTTTTATACCTTTTGAGATTATATTGTAATTTTAACTTTTCTTCCCTTTCCTCCCCCCAAACCCTCCCATATGCTCCTCCATGCTCTTTTTCTAATTTATGGCCTGTTTTCATTAATTGTTAGTGTATGCAATAATCTATATGTGTATACATATAGACTTCTATATATTACCAACTTAGTCTATATAATGGTTGTTTTGGAGTCCATCCTCTGATCAAATAAAAAAACTTCAGAGGCCAATCTACCTCATAAATATGAGCATAGAAGAAAAGCTTTTAAGACCTTATAACTGTAAGTGAACTTGGAGCTCATCTTAAAAATTAGTTGTGAAAAGGCTGCCTGAGTGGAGAAAAAAGGCAAAAAAAAGTTTGCTTCAAATGTGATTTTTTTTTGCTCAGTATTTTCATATTTCTGACTTACTAACTTGAAGGTCTGAAAACTTTGCTCAACTTTTGAGGTGGGTTTAAAATAATCCTTTTTCCATTGGGAAAAAGCTCCTCCATTGCAGAAGCCCTGCAGAAACTCCTTCCTCCATGCTCTCATGTTTAAAAGATGAAGGTTTTGCATGGTCTCACTCGTATAAGAATCTAAAGAATTGATCAAATGTAGAACGTGTTACTGGGCAAAAGTAGTGAGGAGGAGGGGATGGGGCAAAGGTGAGCATTAAGTCTTACTTAGACAGCTGATGGGGGAATGTCTTTATGTATGCTGTGAAAATGTGTAGTTCTGATTGGTAAAAAAATCCATTTGGCCTATGGCAAGGCAGCTTAGAGGCAGGTGGAATCCAAACAGAGAGACAGGAAGAGAAAGGAGAGGAAAAGGAGACACTGCCAGCCAACGCCATGAGAAGCAAGATGTAAAGTACTGGTAAGCCACAAGCCACTTGGCAACTTATGGATTAATATAAATGGGTTAATTTAAGATATAAGAACTAGACAGCAAGAAGCTTGCCACGGCCATACAGTTTATAAGTAATATAAGTCTCTGTGTGTTTACTTGGGTCTGAGCGGCTGTGGGCCCAAGCGGGACTGGAGAAAACTCCAGCTATAGACAGCAGCAAGAAGATATGGCATTCTATTGATTATATAGAATAATAATGAAGTACATATTGCACACATCTAGAAAAAAGAATACTGAACGCTTTCACCACACACAAATTATAAATGAGGAGATAGGTATGTTTAACATGATTTTAACACTACACAGTGTATATATATATGTTATTGAAATACTACACGGCACTGATAAAATTTTACATATTAGTGAATTTTTAAAGAAAGGATAATGGGATGGGGGTGCTCAGCGACTAACAACATATATTGTGCTCTTGCAGAGGATCTGATTTTGGTTCCCAATACCCATGTCTGGTAGCTCACAAACATCTGTAATCCCAGATCCAGATCTGATACCCTCTTCTGGCCTCTATGGGTATTGCACTCATATGTAAACCCTTCCCCCATACATATATATATTTAAAAATATAAATAAGATTTTTAAAAAAGGATAATTATTGATTGGTAGTATGAAAAACATTAGGGTCTCAAAAGGATCTTTAAAGGACATTTTTAGTTCTAATGTTTTACTGTGGATTTGTGGGATATTACCATTGGAGAGAACTGGGCAAAGGACATAGATATCTTTGTATTAGCTCATATAGACATCTCTGTATTGGCTCTTATAATTCTAAGTAAACTATAGTTACCTGAAGCTAAAAAGGAATTTTGGTTTGAAAAGTGTCTTCAGAATGTGTTATAATCCACACAACCACAAAATCATTGTATCTCAGTTACTACTAGCTTACAGTCCCTAGCTAGAAGAACTTTTAGGCCAATCTCCTTACCAAACATTTTTAACTGGCATTATTATTTTAAAAATTGAAAATTAAAAACATTTTACACTGAAATTAAAGAGCCCCAAAGTCTATACCTTTCATTAAACCTTTATACGGCATTCTGACGTTGTTTTCCAACAATGTGACTGACAAGTAGATTTTTATCTGTTTCATGCTATTTCTATGCTGTTCTGGCTAGTTTTATGTCAACTTTACACATACTAGCATCATCTGAGAGGAGGGAGCCTCAACTGAGAAAATGCCTCAGTAAGATTGGGCTGTAGGCAAGCCTGTAGGGCATTTTCTTAATTAGTGATTGATATGGGAGGGCCCAGACCACTGTGGGTGATGCCATCCTGGGCTGGTGGTCCTGGGTTCTATAATAAAGCTGGCTGAGCAAGCCATAGGGAACAAGTCAGTGAGCAGCATTCCTCTATTGCTCCTCCTGCCAGGTTTCTGCTCTGTTTGAGTTCCTGTCCTGTCTTCCTTTGATGATGAGCAATGATACCGAAGTGCGAGCCAAATAAACCCTTTCCTTCCCAAGTTGCTTTGGTCATGGTGTTTCATCACAGCAATGGTAACCCTAATTAAGACATATACCAAACTTTTTCACTATCCTACTGGTAAATTTAATGTCATTTAAAGGTGTGGGTGACAAAACTCAGAGTCCATCCTCATTTTTATTTCATTATAACTTATATACCCCTTCAATCAACATGTTTATTTATTTGGTGCCTACTATGTGCCAGGTATATACTTTCCCATTACTATAGATGCTATGTATTACTCAAATCATATTATACAGTATCAATCCACCTTAGAACAAATTAAAATGTTTACTTATAATAAAGTGGAACCATCTGGCCATTGTGGTCTTCCAGTCCCAAATGTTTGCTTTGCTTGCTACAAGCCTAGATTAAGTCATCCCTTATGGAATTTTAGGAGAAATAATGAGGCTGAAAGGCAAGATATAGGGCTTCTGAGGAGCATAAAATGAAGAAAAGAAGGAAAGCAAATGAATAACATTTAGCAGCAAGCCCACTGAAGTGGTCTCAGTGCTTACTGAGGCAGCTGAACAGCATAAGGTTACTGTGGCTGAAGTTTTGAATGACATCTAGCTGACAGCCACTAATACAGTTGCTCTCAACTTCTAACCAAAACGAAAAACTGGGTTGAAGGGAAAGAGGAAATTTACAACATGGAAAACTGAGACTGCTACCATGTCTTGTTAGGATCTGTATAGAATCTCACTCTAAATCAGACAGAGTAGAAAGGAGAAAATCTTTTCCTGACTGAGGATTCACTCTCTCTTGTGGAATAAATTTTGCTTTTGTGAGATGTCTGAAGCATTGCTTTCCACCTTGTCCACAATTCTACACTAATTCCAAAGTAGCAGTGTTCAGAAAGCAATACTGCAAAGTAGTAAAGCAAACTGAAACTATGTACTACCACTGCTGAAGCTTTTGGTATGGTGTTGGCAAGATGGGGTGTGCAAGTCAGAACTAGCCACTGTGATGACAGTGAATCCTAGCCTAAGTGACATAGTGATGTTTGCATCTGTCATTCAATAGCAAAGTCTGTGAACTCTGTCATCATGCCCACTCTATTTATGAAAATAGCCTGTTCTATAATTACCTAGTCTCTTGACTTATTTCCAGTTTCTAAGGTTTTACAAAAATCACATGATTTTATTTATTATTAAACTAATTTATACCATGGAAAAACATGAAGTAGATTAAGTTAAGAAGTCAAAGTCTGCTTTTCCTCATGTCTACTCTATCCCTCTATTACTATTCTTATGTTGATATAGGACCCTTCAGATAGTGCTCATTTATACATTTATAAAAGCACACACACATTTTACATTTGTTTTATTATCTTATTGAGTTTTCTGTTTTGCTACATTTAGATACAATTTTACTTTTAGAATTACTTTATTTATTTATTTATTTATTTATTGTGTGTGTGTGTGTGTGTGTGTGTGTGTGTGTGTGTGTGTGTGTGATCATACATGTACAATGGATGGCTGTGTGCGGAGGTCAGAGGAATACTTCAGATGGTTCTCCCCTTTCACCATGTGGGTCCTGGAGCTAGAACTCAAGCTTGGCATCCAAGTGCCTGCTGATCCATCTTGGCAACACTCGTTATGTTCTTATTAATAACACCGCAGTATCCCAATGATTGGATGTATATAGCCAAGCCTATATTGATAAATATTTATGTTAATCTGTTAAACTTATGAAAACAATGCTGCAGTGACAGTTTAAAAATTGTTCGTTTTCAGTAGGTGCATTGAACACCTGTTTGTGTGCAATGACAAACACCCTTGTACTTGGAAACATTCTTACAAGTTCCTTTATGTGAAAAGGAATGTTCGAACATTTCCTTTTCAAATTTTAAGATGTTTGAACAATAACTCTTCTTAGACACTGATTCTTACAGATGTACTTTTTTGTTAATTGATTAAATGTACACTATTACTATCTATATAGAGTCCGATTTGTCAGGCTTATTCTAAGATTTGTGCTAACAACAGAAATAAGGGTAAAGCAAGGAGAATCTGGCCTAGTCTTTTTTTTCTTTCAACTGCATGATCAAGAGCTTTCAGGTTTATAAAGAATCTGACCAGAAGGATGAAGTGGAGTATGTTAAAATCCCATAGAAACCATTCACTATTGAGAATAGGGGTGGTGACTGTCTTCCTTAGAGAGAACACACAGATTCATCAGGTCATCCGAAGAGAGTACCAACTTCTGATCTAGACAAAAGGCTATGGCTACAATTTGTTCATGTTCTTGCCCTAATTACAGATGGTAAATTGTTTAGAGGTTGGTGATGACATCATTTGATTTTTCTGAGGGAGGAGGAGAAAGTGATGTTAGAAATGGGTCCTCTTTTGGATTTGATGGAGATTTTTTTCCTATGGGGGAAAAAGCTTGGCTTACTGCTGTAGAGTGTGGAAATATTGGAGCTCTTCACACTTACTGCTTCTCTGTTGGCAGGTTGCCGGAAGATATCACCATCAGAATGTTCCCACGACAATTCTCCATCCCCTGTTTATTAAAAAGAAATAAAGGAAGAATCAAACATACATAGAAGGGAAAATTGTCACCCTTTTGACCCAGCCACATTTTTGGAGCAATGTTTCTAAAGTTCTCAAGGCATTTTAGATCTTGTGGCTACCCTTCAAGAAACAGCACTGAACGATTTCTCTGGGTGGGTCTCATGATTCAAAACAACTCAGAAGAAAGTAGTTATCATTTTCTAAACAGACTAACTGTTAACATTATCCAAGATTTGGAATATAAAAGGGAAAATAATCGCTTTTCACCGTAATATAGCCATCATCATCACTTTTGCTTATTTTATTCTAGTGACAGTTAAGTATTTTACAGATCGTATTTAATGTGTGTTTACACTACCCTTAAACAATGAATTTTGAAGTTTTCATTGGTCAAGACTTAAGTTCACCATGATGTCTCTGAGAAGCTATGAATTGACTTAAAAGTAAAAGTTAAACTTGCTATGATTAGAGTATTTATATCCAAGATGCTGTCTTTTTTACTTTTCCTTTATTGTTTTAGAAATTCACATGTGAGTGCTCTATTTACAATGGTTGGTTCCACTCCTCCTTCCCCCTCGAATTTCTCCCATGTCCCTCCCTCATTCACTCTCAAATTCATGAACTCTTCTTTAGTTATTATTGTTACACACACACCCACACACATAAACACAAACACATACACATATATACATAGGTATATAGGTAGGGAAAAATTCTAAAATTCATATGGAAGCCAAAGCAATCCCAAATAAAAAGAACAGAGCTTAAGGGGGTTACTGTGCCACGTTTCAAGCTATATTACAGAGCTATAGTAATAAAACAGCATACTACTGTCTTTAATTTTGATCCGTCACACCTTTCTCTACGTCAGGAGTTCTCAACCTGTGGTTTGTGACCTCTTTTGGGGGTTGAATGACCCTTTCACAGGGGTTGCTTAAGACCATTGGAAAACACAGATATTTACATTATGATTTATAACACTAGCAAAACTATAGTTATGAAATAGCAACAAAAATCACTTTATGGTTGGGGGTCACTACAACATGAGGAGCTGTTTTTTTTTTTTCACTTTTGAATCTTTGTTTAATGTCTTCTTATCACAGTTTCCTTATTTCTTTTTTTTTCCATTTTTTTAAATTTATTTTAATTTATTTTGCAATACAATTCAGTTCTACATATCGGTCACGGATTCCCTTGTTCTCCCCCCTCCCGTCCCCCTCACCTTCCCCCCAACGCCCCCCCCCCCCCCATTCCCATCTCCTCCAGGGCAAAGCCTTCCCCACAGACTGAGGTCAACCTGGTAGACTCAGTCCAGGTAGGTCTAGTCCCCTCCTCCCAGGCCGAGCCAAACAATCCTGCATAGGCCCCAGGTTTCAAACAGCCAACTCATGCAATGAACACAAGATCTGGTCCCACTGCCTGGATGCCTCCCAAACAGATCAAGCCAATCAACTGTCTCACCCATTCGGAGGGCCTGATCCAGTGTGGACCCCTCAGCCATTGGTTCATAGTTCATGTGTTTCCATTCATTTGGCTATTTGTCCCTGTGCTTTATCCAACCTTGGTCTCAACAATTCTCGCTCATATAAACCCTCCTCATTCTCGTTAATTGGACTCCCAGAGATCCACCCAGGGCCTAGTCATGGATCTCTGCATCCAGATCCCTCAGTAGTTGGATGAGGTTTCTAGCACAACAATTAGGGTGTTTGGCCATCCCATCACCAGAGTAGGTCAGTTCGGGCTGTCTCTCGACCATTGCCGGCAGTCTGTTGTGTGGGTATCTTTGTGGATTTCTGTGGGCCTCTCTAGCACTTTGCTTCTTCTTATTCTCATGTGGTCTTCATTTACCATGGTCTCCTATTCCTTGTTCTCCCTCTCTGTTGTTGATCCAGCTGGGATCTCCCGCTCCCCCAAGCTCTCTTTCCCTCGACCCTCGCCTTTCATTACCCCCACTCATGTCCAGGCTGTTCATGTAGATCTCATTCCATTTCTCTGTCATTGGGCGATCCCTGTGTCTTTCTTGGGGTCCTGTTTTCTGGGTAGCCTCCCTGGTGATGTGAGTAGCAGACAATTCATCCTTGTTTCATGTCTAGTATCCTGCTATGAGTGAGTACATACCATGTTTGTCTTTCTGAGTCTGGGTTACCTCACTCAGGATGATTTTTTCTAGATCCATCCATTTGTCTGCAAACCTCATGAGAAAGCATCTTCAACAAATGGTGCTGGCAAAACTGGATATCAACATGTAGAAGGCTGCAAATAGATCCATATCTATCACCGTGCACAAAACTTAAGTCCAAGTGGATCAAGGACCTCAACATAAATCCAGCTACTCTGAACCTGCTAGAAGAGAAAGTAGGAAGTAGTCTTGAACACATTGGCATTGGAGACTACTTCCTAAATAGAACACCAGTAGCACAGACTCTGAGAGAAACAATCAATCAATGGGACCTTTTGAAACTGAGAAGCTTTTGTAGAGCAAAGGATACGGTCAACAAGGCAAAGCGACAGCCTACAGAATGGGAAAAGATCTTCACCAACCCCACATCTGACAGAGGACTGATATCCAGAATATATAAGGAACTCAAGAAATTAGACATCAAAATGCCCAACAGTCCAATTAAGAAATGGGCTATAGAACTAAACAGAGAATTCTCAACAGAGGAAACTCAAATGGCCGAAAGACATTTAAGGAATTGCTCATCATCCCTAATCATCAGGGAAATGCAAATCAAAACAACTCTGAGATACCACCTTACGCCTGTCAGAATGGCTAAGATCAAAAACACTGAAGACACCTTATGCTGGAGAGGATGTGGAGCTAGGGGAACTCTCCTCCACTGCTGGTGGGAATGCAAGCTTGTACAACCACTTTGGAAATCAATATGGCGCTTTCTTAGAAAATTGGGAATCAATCTCCCCCAAGATCCAGCTATACCACTCTTGGGCATATACCCAAGAAATGCTCAACCACACCATAAGAGCACTTGTTCAGCTATGTTCATATCAGCATTGTTTGTAATAGCCAGAACATGGAAACAACCCAGATGCCCTTCAACTGAAGAATGGATAAACAAAATGTGGTACATATACACAATGGAATACTACTCAGCAGAAAAAAACAATGGCATCATGAGGAGCTGTTTTAAAGAGTCGCAGCATTAGGAATGTCAAGAACCACTGCTCTAGGTCCATATGCTCCATTCTTTGGACAGTAAACCCCCTATTACTGAAGTCTTCCAGAATAGCTGATGTTCTGTTTTAAGACGGGGTCTTGCTATGTAGTTGTGGCTAAACTTGAACTCACTATATAGCTCAGGTTGTACTGGAGCTCATGGTCCTTCCTTCTGTCTTAAGTTGGCATTACAGGTGTGCATTACCACACCAAACTCAGAGTAACTGCTTCAAAGAGAAAGGTTTTATGTTAAGGTTTTGGGAGACATAAGCATACAAAAGATATGGATATTTATCAGTTGATTAAAAATGAAACAAATTGGGTAATTTTCAAGAAGCTTTGGTAACCTATGACCATACATATATATGGAAGTATTGTGTGTGCATAATATATATTGTATGTATATTATGCTAAACACTAACTAGCTCTTGAATGGGCTAACACAGAACATGGAAAAACAGAAAGAATTTTCTGTTATAATTCATTTCTCAAGCTTTCAAATCCTCAAAACTAAATAGTAACATTTTAACTGGTTCAGGGACATGACAGAACCATTGGGGAAATTCATGTAATTTTTTAGGACTTGAAAGAGCTTGAAAATTAGTTTGATAGCCTCCTGCCTTAGACTTGCACATTCTAGGATTATAGGCTTGGGCTATAGTGCCTAGCTCATTTACTTAGTTCTGATTGCCTGAAGGACTTAGTATCCTACACTATTTGAAATGTAGAGAACTTCAGACACAATTTTGTCCAAGTGTTATATGAAACAGATGGAGAAACCAAAGCTCGGTAAAGTAGATGTAGCTATTCATAGTTAAACAATGTTCATTGAGATTAACACCCAAGTCGCTGGCCCCCAGATTCCTGAATAATCATGTTCATCCTATAAAAGCATAGCTTACTCTTTGGTATTTGTGACTACATTGCCATCAAATGATGGAACTGGGAAATCTCTGACAACCCTAGAATTTCTTTTTTTCTCTTGAATACTTAGAAGTGCCTTACATTTTTAATATTTTGTTCATTTTCTGTTTTCTCTCATTATAATTCTGCCATAAAAATCAAGATTTTTGTCTATCCTGGTCATTGATGTAATAGTACCACTGACAATAGCAATTTGTACATAGTATTCATTCAGCATTTGCAGCATGAATGAGTAACAAAGCATTGTAAATATTTTCCACTGTGAAATGTTTCTTGGTCCTTTGTGGACAAACTGTAAATTTCTTAAAATGAGATATGCCTTACACTATCTTTGTATCTTCTTGGTCACTACTTTCCAAAGTGTGGTCCTTGTCATTATCTGGGAATTTGTTAGACACTCAAAAGTTTGGATCCCACCCCAGACCTACTGAATCAGAAACTATGGGATAAGGGCCAATAATTTAGGTTTTGATGATCTCTTCAATGGAGTTGGATGCATACAGAAATTTAAAAATAGCTGGGCTGGAACAGCTGGTATATTGCTGGGTACATATCAGTGGCTTAATAACTGAACTAAACTGTAGTAAAAATATCAAATTGAGTGTGTGCTGGAAGAACAGTTTTCTTCCTGTGTGGGTGCAGATGATAGGCAAAAATTGTCTAAAGACCTATGTGGAAACTCTGACTGGCTACAGTGAGAGTTGGCTATGACAGGAAATAATGCTGAAGAGTCAAATAACAAGCCCTGAATGATGCAGAAGTGGAAAGGTTGATACTATTGCAAGTGAGACAAATCATTCTGGGCCCTTGCCCTCAAGATGTTCTCGTTGAATGTGGAAGTGACTGGACATTAGTTTAAGATGCAGTTTAAAAACATATGAAGCTCAGCA